CCAAATTTGCTCATTTTATCCCTATGCACATGGACTATCCATTGGAGAAATTGGCAAAGTTGTACATTGAGAGGATTGTCAGTTTGCATGGTATTCCGTCTAGCATTGTGTCAGATCGAGATCCAAGGTTCACTTCGAGATTTTGGGAGAGTCTGCAGAGTGCTTTGGGTACAAAGTTGCGTTTAAGTTCAGCTTATCATCCTCAGACAGATGGTCAGACGAAAAGAACGATTCAATCACTTGAAGATCTGTTGAGAGCTTGTGTATTGGAGAAGGGAGGAACTTGGGATAACTACTTGCCTTTGATTGAGTTTACTTACAACAATAGTTTTCATTCAAGCATCGGTATGGCACCTTTTGAAGCCTTGTATGGTAGACGTTGCAGGACGCCATTATGTTGGTATGAGTCGGGAGAGAGTTTTGTAGTTGGGCCCGAGTTAGTTCAAGATACTACCGACAAGATTAAGATGATCCAAGAGAAGATGAGGATTTCCCAAAGTCGTCAGAAGAGTTATCATAACAAGAGGAGGAAAGCAATCGAATTTCAAGAGGGAGATCATGTGTTTCTTCGAGTCACTCTTATGACTGGTGTTGGTAGTGCATTGAAGTCGCGCAAGTTGACGCCGCGTTTCATTGGTCCTTTTCAGATTTTGCAGAGGATAGGAGAGGCAGCCTATCGTGTTGCTTTGTCGCCATCTCTAGCTAATCTTCATGATGTGTTCCATGTATCTCAATTGAGGAAATACATTCCAGATCCGTCTCATGTAGTCCAAGTAGATGATGTACAGGTGAGAGATAACCTGACTGTGGAGACATCACCTATGCGGATAGAGGATCGGAACTCGGAAGTCGAAGCAACTTCGAGGCAAAGATTTCTTTGGTGAAGGTCGCTTGGGGAGGACCGGCTGGTGGGAATGTAACGTGGGAGCTGGAGAGCCAGATAAGGAAATCTTATCCAGAGTTGTTCGAATCAGGTAACATTTTCGAGGACGAAAATTCCTAAAGTGGGGGAGAGTTGTAACAACCCGATTTTTCATTAATTAATTATTTTCATTAATTAATGGGTTCATGGGAATTATTTAATTGATGGGTAATTGATTAAATGAATTAATAGATGTTGGAGAGAATTAGAAGAGAAATACATATTAAAAAGGAGAGTGTAAAGAAAAGTAAAAAGATAGAAACATATAGGAAAGAATAGAGAAAGACGGAGAAAGAGGAGAAAAGAGAAGAAGAAGAGGGAAGAACTTGGAATCATCAAGAACAACTCTCAAACTTTGGATTAATCAAGTTAAGAGTGTGAAATATCATCATCTTAACAATGTGTATGAATATGTATGCTTGGATTAGAGTATTTGATGTTTTCTACAACTTCCATTTTAGGGCATAAACAGATTAATCGGTAGAATCTGAGTTTTCAACGGTAGGAAATGAGAATGAATGATAGTATTTAGTCGGGGAATGTTAGACTAAGGTTACGGAACTTGTTCGGTGAGAATTGGTTGGTTTTGGAGAGTTTGGTGGGAGTTGGACAGTAAGAATTTGGAGTTCGCAGACATTCGCTAGCGTGTTCGCTGAGCGAGCTGGTAGCGAACGTTCGCTTAGCGAGCTAGTAGCGAACAGTCCCAGACTTGGACATAATGCATTTTGTGGTGTTCGCTGGTAGCGAAGGGGGTAGCGAAGGTTCGCTAGGCCTTCGTTGAGCGAGCGAGGTAGTGAACGAAGTCAGAAGCTTCTGTTTGCCTTCGCGAGCTTATTCGCTGGGCGAACAAGTAGCGAATACTCGCTAGGAGCTCGCTGAGCGAGCAGAGTAGCGAACGTGACAGGATATGTTTTTCTTTAATGTTTCCATCCGAGGTCGGATTTCCGACTTAACTTTGATTATTTCCATGCTCGAGGCGTCGATTACGCCGGGATATATTAGGGTGGGTAGCCTTATGGCGTGAATCTTAGATTGTGAATTGATCGAAATTGTGATTCGTGGAGAAATGTAATACATTGTTCTAATTGATTTAAAAATGTATGAAGAATGCATGAGAACATATTGTGTATATGTGTGCATTGTTTGTTAATATATTGATGATATGTATGAATATGTTGTGTGTGCAATCGTTGTGATAATTCTTGAAGAGATGAATTATTTGAATGCATGAGATTAAGATGTCGGTCTTAAATGCATTGAATTGTTGATTGCATATGCAACATTTAGTCAAGAGTAAATGCTTGCTAGTTTCGTGGAGACTAGTGACTTGTCCCAAGCCTAGAAGAGTGAGTTTGAAAGCTTAGAGGACGGGCTTTTGGTGGTTATCGGTCTAGAAGAGTGGACCCGGTTTATTGTAAACCGAAAAAAGATAACAAGTGTTGGTACCACATGGCATAAGTTTGCATTGAGTCGTATTGAGTCACATAGCATGAATGTCATCATTATATGAAATATGATTGCATGTGGATTATGTATATGAGTTAAAATGGATTGTGGTGAGAAATGTAATGTATGTATGTTTTATGTTGTGTATGTATATATAGTTATATGCATTGATTATTATGATAATATTTCTCACCCTTCTGCTGTTTTATAATGCTCTATGAGGCATTGCAGATTAGGATTGCTGGAGGTTTTCTTTTGGTGAAGTATAACTTCATTCTTTTGAGTCGGTTGCTCTGATATATAACATCGGTAACTAGGCTTGTAGAGTATTCTTTTGTGATACATTGTATATGTATCAACTGATGATGTTTGTAAAATATGAATGATACTATGAACAACTTGATGATGCGTACTTCTACTATATCATGTCTTAAGTAATTCAATATTCTAGTCTTCCGCTTTAATCAAAACATTGATATGTGGACTCTAAGAGTTATGCTTTACTTTTAGTTGAGATTTGCCCCTTTTGTTTTATCTCTTTATGAACATTATTATTTATGTTGTCGTTTCGTGAATAATGTGATGCGCCTCTTTTATACCATGTTATAAATATACTTTGATGAATTTTGTATATGTGATTAAGTGTTTAATTGCATTATTTTGGGGGTATAGAAGGGGGTGTTACATTTGCTCGGGGTGATAAAATGTCTGTGGAAATGATGATGAATACTTTTAATAAGTTTTCTAAGGAAACTGGTCTGGTAGTTAACCCTATGAAATGCAGGATTTATTGTGATGGGTTATATGAAGAACTGAAATAGGATATTCTCAAGGTGACTGGCTTTTAGGAGGGGCAATTACCTTTCAAATATTTAGGAGTACCTGTGACTGGTAAGAAACTCTCTACACATTACTACATGCCACTGATGGATTTTATATTGTACAAGATCAAATATTAGACAGCTCGAATACTATCGTATGAGGAAAGATTGCAGCTTATTAAGAGTGTGACATTTGCGCTAGCTAACTACTGACTGGAATGTTTCCTATTCCTCAATAGTATTCTTCATAAAATTGAATCCATATGCCACGATTTTTTATGGACAAGTGGATATAAGGGAAGCCGTAAGACACTTGTAGCATGGAAGACAGTTTGCAGACCGAAATGTCACGGTGGGCTGAACATCATTGACATAAAAGTTTGGAATAAAACCAATCTGATCCGACTGCTGTGGAATCTAAGTGGAAAGACCGATTCGTTGTGAGTTCGGTGGATACAAGCATACTATATGAAAAATAGACAGTTGATGGAAATTGAGGTGAAAACTAACCATACTTGAATTATGAAAGTTGTTTTAGGTTAGAGAGAGAGACGATAAATAATATAGAAGAATGGGATGATATTCTAAAATGGACAAAATTCAATATGAGTAAAGTTAGTTTATACGATGATATGAGAATATGAGACAAAGGTCGAATGGAGGAACCTGATGTATGGTAACAACGCTCGACCCCGAGTCTATTTTATCTTATGGTTTGCATGCCATGAAAAATTATCCACAAAAGACCGCCTGTTCCAATTTGGAATGATCGATAACATGGAGTGTTATTTCTGTTCAGGGTTGGAATCAATCAAACATCTATTCTTTGAATGCTTAGCTACAAGGAAAATTTGAATGAAAATCTTAGAGTGGATTCAAATTCCTCACTGTCTAGAAGATTGACATGAAGAAATGAAATGAATAACCTAACACACGAAAGGAAAAAGTGCAAAAGCTGCTGTCCTCAAAATGGCGATCACATAAACTGTATATGAAATATGAAATATGAGAAATAAGAAGAGTTTTGGAAAGAAAGTGGATAACACAAATGTAAGAAGAAAAATTATAGACACACTTGTTTCAAGAGGGTGGAATAACAAGAAGATTAGGGAGTATATTCCTATCCTAATGATAGAAGGATGATAGTTTTATTAGTCATCTTTGAATTGTTGGTTGCTGGATCCTACTAGAATCCCTTATAATTACGATTTTTTAAATTAGTCAAAGTTGTTTATATTAAAAATAAAATAAAATAAAATATCATGGTATAATAAATTCATTTCTACTTTTATCTTCTATCATTTTCACACATTAAAAAACAAATAATATCATATTTCTAATTAAAATTGTGTTAAATGAAAATAAATTATAAGATTAATTACTATGTACCGACAATGTAAAAAATTTTATACTGTCAATTCATCATTATTATCCGTTTACATTATTTTATAAATTATTAAAATAAAAGTTAAACTTTATTTTACATCAAACATCTATACTTAATTGATAGCATAAAATTATTTGATGACCGTGCTATTTCAATTAAATCCATAAATTATTGATCCAAGTTCAATTTTGCATCAACATTTATTTATATATATATTTTTTACTATGTACTACAATTTCTCTTCCTTTAACATTTACCCTAATATTCAAAGCATAGTCAGATAGATTTAAAGTACACATTATAATATTTGTTTATTAGTAGTAACTTATTAAATTGATTGTAAAATGAAAATTAAATTATTAAATCAAATAAGATAATATTATTAAATTCTCCTCTCGGTTTGAGTTGACATGAAACAAGAACAATGACAAATTGCGAAACATCCAAATCTCATGCTCCTCGTCACTCTACATCGCTCCAATTTCTCCACCAACTCAGTTTTTCACCTTTCACACCCCATTTTCATATTGTAACCTCCCTCTCATATTCTCTTCTGGCTCATGCTTTCTATAATCCGTTGATCACACGTCAAGACCACCCCATCTTTATTTTCATGTAAATTTCGTAACTTTGCTTATCTGGGTATCGTAAAAGATTTATCTTATTATTCCCAATTTTTGTATCATATAGGTCTGAAATTTTGTTTTTTGATTCATTTTTATAATAACAACCGAATCTTTATTTATTTGTTATTGTTGCTGTTGTGTTTTTCTATGGTGTGTTTAGTGAAGCAGAATGAGAAGAACTTGCTGAGATTGAAGGGTTTGTGATTGTAATGGAGTTTCATACTTTTTGTCATTTGAATATTTGGAGGGTATGTACAAAAATGAGAATTTGGACTGTTTTGTTACTCCTGCTGTTACTCAAGAGTGATGTTATTGTTGTGTATTGTGGTTCGGGTTACTTGGTTGGTCTTGGAAGCTATGACATTACTGGTCCTGCTGCTGATGTTAACTTGATGGGGTATGCTAAAATAGAACAAGTTGCATCTGGTATTCATTTCAGGCTTCGCGCTCGTGCTTTCATTGTTGCAGCGTCGAAGGGTAATAGGGTGGTGTTTGTGAACCTTGATGCTTGTATGGGTTCGCAAATTGTGACAACTAAAGTAGTCGAGAGGCTGAAAGCAAGGTAGAGTTAGTCTGATTAGTTGGTAACTGATGTTTTGATTTGAAATAGTTGCGGTGTTGATTTCATAATTTCGTTTTGTTTGACAGATACGGTGAGATGTATACAGAAAAGAATGTAGCTATTAGCGGAACTCACACTCATGCGGGTCCTGGGGGTTATCTTCAATATTTTTTGTATATTATAACATCTTATGGATTCGTGCGTCAGTCGTTTGATGTTATTGTTGATGGTATTGAGAAAAGCATTATTCAGGCTCATGAAAATCTCCGCCCTGGATCAATATTTGTTGATGAAGGAGAGCTTTTAGATGCTGGTGTGAACCGGAGTCCTAGTGCTTATCTCAATAATCCGGCTTCAGAGAGAAGCAAATATAAGTATGATGTTGATAAAGAAATGACTCTTTTGAAGTTTGTTGATGATGAAAGGGGACCTGTTGGAAGCTTCAGTTGGTTTGCTACTCACCCGACTTCAATGGGTCGTAGAAACTCATTAATCAGCGGGGACAATAAAGGTGCAGCTGCGCGGTTTATGGAAGATTGGTTTGAGGAAAAAGATCCTGGAAGAATGAATTCTGATGTAGTTAGAAATGATGGCTTGCCTCAAAGAATCTCAAATATAATTCCTGGACTCCGTGATAATCGTATGTTACTTACATTTTGCTTTTAGGTATAATGCAAACATCGATGAAATTATTAGCTTCTTTTTCATTACAAATTTCATAAACTATATAATATCTTAATTCTTACATGAATAGCATCAAAATTTGTAGTTCTAAGTACTAGGTAGACGTGTTTGCTAACCGCACTTATGAAAATGAACTAAAAACAACTTATGAAATGTCATAAGTTGTTTTCGTAAGCTTTCCTAAACATTCTCACAAGTGTTTGTCAGTAGATAAGCTCAACTAAGTCAATCCAAACAAGCCCATAATATGTTCGCTATGACCGACCGAGTAGCCTGATGAAACATAAATGGGTGCTATCTTGCTTTGTATTAATTAGGTAATTAGGTAACTAGTACGAGGGGGTTTATGAAAGTAAAAAATTAATCATATTTATATTCTCATTAAAAATACATTGATGCAGATCATGAATTACTGGAACTTGCTGTCTCTTTCCCGTCTCCTCCTGGTAGACCGGTTACCAAAAGTTCGAGTGTTACCAGACGGGTGAGAGGTGCTCCTAGGAATGTTGACAAGCCTCAATTTGTTGCTGGATTCTGCCAATCGAATTCTGGAGATGTCAGTCCAAATGTTCTCGGAGCTTTTTGTTTAGACACTGGACTACCTTGTGACTTCAATCATAGTACGTGCGGAGGGAGGAATGAATTCTGCTATGGCCAAGGACCTAGGTAAACGTTATCATGTTCGGTTTACGCAATGCTAAAAATCTTATGAAACCGCTAATTTGCATTAAATAACTTATGTGACAGTTATCCAGATGAATTTGAAAGTACCCGAATTATAGGAGAAAGACAATTCAGAAAAGCAGTGGATCTCTTCAATGCAGCAACTGAAGAGATTGAAGGGGAGGTTGATTTTCGACACGCTTATATAGATTTCTCCAAACTTGAGGTGACTATTTCTGATCAAGGAGTTAACAAGGTTGTTAAGACATGCCCTGCCGCAATGGGTTTTGCATTTGCTGCCGGAACAACCGATGGACCTGGATCTTTTGATTTTAAGCAAGGTGACGATAAGGTAATCAATGTTTTATACCTCGTGCTTGCCTGTGACTTGTAGTCTTATGGTCTGTTTGAAATGATTTATTTGAGCTTATCTAGTAGTTGAAGCACTTGTATTTTTGTAAGACTGGTTGAGACTGAGAGAGCTTATGTGAAACAACTTATTAAGTTATTACACGTTCATAAGCTGTTTTCAAATAAGCTCTTCGAGATAGCTTATGAAAAGAGCTTATAGTTAACTTAAGCATAAGCACTTATATGATATTAAACACTTATGTTATAAAGTATAAACAGTTAATTAAGCTGTTTTTCCAAACAATATGTTATGGTTTATACTTATTATTTGTTATGATTGCACACCAGGGAAGTCATTTCTGGAAGCTAGTCCGCAACCTAGTTAAGACAATAAGCAAGAAACAAATTGATTGTCAGCACCCAAAGCCCATTTTGCTTGATACCGGTGAAATGAATATACCATATGATTGGGCAGTAAGTTTCTCCTTATCTGAAAGTTACGATTTTTTTCTCGCCCATAGCTTCACCAGAGTTTTCTTCTCTATATTTTGATCTAGTAGTATTGAATTACATTAATTATACTATTGATGTTATGTGTTTTAACTTTCCCCTAATCACGTTCTCTGCCAACAGAAGTTCCGTGTATCAGTTTTACCGCATCTGTTTTCAGTCATGCATATATACGAATATATCTTTCACTTGTCTAAAGGTTTCTTCATTCATGTTAATTTTGCAGCCTTCAATACTTCCGATTCAGATCCTCCGAGTTGGGCAGTTTGTTATTCTGTGTGTACCAGGAGGTACCAAATTGTCTCCTACACTCTAATATGTTGTTTTTTGGATTTCTATCCTTCACAACCTCAACTTGTTCATAACATTTCTAATTCTGACAGAAATCTCAACAATGGCTGGAAGGAGACTACGCCAATCAGTGAAGACGGTACTAAGTAATCACAAGGATTTTGAAAATGTTCATGTTGTTATAGCAGCTTTGAGCAATGCTTATTCGCAATACACAACTACACATGAAGAATACCAGGTGCAAAGATATGAGGTCAGTTGCACGAGACATATACCTTGGAGCAAATATTTCTACCGTGTAACTCTCTTTCTGACGTCAAACTTTCTTGCTGTCAGGGTGCTTCTACGCTATACGGCCCACACACGCTGAGTGCATACATTCAAGAGTTTAAGAAGCTTGCAAAGGCTCTTATCAGTGGTGAACCAGTAGAATCCGGTCCACTTCCCCCTGATCTTCTGGATAAGCAAGTAAGCTTGCTGCCACCGGTTGTGGTGGACGGAACCCCTTTTGGAGTAAATTTTGGCGATGTTTCCTCTGACGTACCTCAGAACTCCACCTTTACGAGCGGTGACGTTGTGACAGTTTCGTTTTGGTCTGCATGCCCTCGAAACGACCTTTTGACAGAAGGCACCTTTGCCCTGGTGGAAATTCTCCAAGGAAAAGACACTTGGGTTCCCGCGTATGACGATGATGATTTCTGCCTGCGTTTTAAGTGGTCAAGGAGTTTTAAACTCAGTCCTATGAGTAAAGCAACCATGGAATGGAGGATACCGCATGGCGTAACTCCTGGTGTGTACAGAATAAGTCATTTTGGTGCTGCAAAGGGCTTATTTGGATCAATTAACCACTTTACAGGTTCATCCAGTGCATTTGTTGTATTAGTATAAACTATAAATACATTTTGTTCTCAGGTCACAGCCATTACTATATCAATGATTTTGTTGTGCAGAACCTTTGCAATATTCATTCCATCCCAAACAAGGGTGTCTTCAATATATAGGGAATCTTGAATTTTTGTGATATATGCAAGTGTCTGCCATATGTTCTGAACTGTTCTAAGGATTTTTTTTAGCGCGGCCCTAAAAACCTTCTATTCATTAAGGCTAGGTGTATGGATGATGAGTAGTATGTTAAAAAATTGTACTAATATTTAAATTTCATTAAAAAACTAAGCATTGAGTTGTCACACTTCACAATTTTATTTTTTATATTATATTCAATTTTTCTATTTTTTATATTATACATTAATATAATTAAATTAATATTTCACTTAATTTTTTTTTTGTATTTTACTAATTTGTATTATACTGGATATTTGTATATTATTTTGAACAATTTTAAATTTGTATTGTATTTAAAAGAATGTTAAATTATTAAAAAAAAAATTCTCTCTACTGTCAAATTTATATTCATTGAATAATAGATTAAATATATTAATTATTCAATGAATAACTTTATCTTATAAATAGGAGTAGGGAGTAATATAATACCTAAAAATGTATTAAATTTAAAATAGTATATTTATCAATGAATCTATAAAGTAATTTGTTTCTTATGAAAAGGATCAGAGTGAGTAATATAATATATAAAAATATATTATATTTAAAGTAGTATAATGTATATAATAATTATTATGAGATTTTTTTAAATTATTTTTTATAAAAAATAATAAATAAATGACAAGTTTAGGGTCAGATAGCCAGCAACTTGTCTAGGATTGTATTTAGGTAATATATTTTAAGCAATATAATAAAGAATGTTTAACCTAAAACCCAATATTAATGTATATATTGAGCTTATTATGAGTTAAACTCATTAATGTTAAGTAAATTGAAGTTAATATGAAATAATCTTTTGTGTTATTTGATGTGGTGTTAGTAAATAATTTTATTATGCATTATATTGCTATGAATCTGATTCTTTGGTTGATCATCTTAAAAAAAGATAAAAGCTTGTTGATGTGAGGAGTTCATCAACAATTGGAACTAATGATAAATATAATTGAAAATAATAGGATAGACATATTCACTATATTAGGTACTTTAAGCATATAGATCTACAACCATATAAAAAATATGAAATGAAATTAAACATGCATTAAAGTTAAATTT